CTCCTCTTCCCTCTCCCTCCAGGGTACCTTCTCTTTGACATCTTGGAACCAAAGAGTTCTGCATCTGCCCAGTGAAACATCAGCTGGGAACAGCTGGTTTAAGTCCTTACCTCGGGCAGGTGTGAACTCCCAGGTAAAAAGAGAGATCTCTGACCTCTAGCTAAAGTTTGGCCAGTTATGAGGGGGCTTGTTTGTGTCCCACTTTTGGTGGTGTCTTAGGGAACAGCTAAGCAGTTTCAACATAGTTTTTCCAAACCAGCTCACAGCATTAGATGACAGCTTTCTCTGAAAACAGAGGGGCAAAACCAGGCTGATCAACTTGTAGCTCTTTTGTGTCTTCATGATTAAATATTGCTTTGGTATTGGGCATTTCCAAATTATGAGATCTTGATCAAGTGACGCCTCTATCTCAGTTTTCCTGTTTTCAGAATGATTCTTTGTGAGCAAGGGTGCTGATCCCAAACAAGGACTGTTCTGTCTTAGGGCTTCTGTGAGTGTAACACAAAGATGTAAGTATTCAGAGAATGTTGGCCAAGTATAAGACATGGAACAAGAGAAAGACCGAGAAGCAATAACAATATTGAATAGCAAGTTAAATTTCTGATATCCTCTACCTCTTGGCCAGTTGGTCGTCATATGAAGCCAGATTTTAGGGAGAGTTTGACAGCATAAAGTGATGAACTGTTATGGCTATTTTTAAATTGCCTAATGGTAATGGAGCGCTGTAAGAACGTATTTTTTTTCTTTAAAGAGAGTCAATTGAAGACTGAACAAATGGGCAGAGGAGCATGAAATCATGGCTCCATCGGAAGTGGGAGTTAACCTTTGAGTGATGGCAAAGAGGATCAGTGAAATGTGGATAGGCCAGACAGACTTTGAAATTGAAGAGAAAGGATCTGTCTGATACATTGCAGAAGAGCTGTCAGAGAGAAATAAAGAAAAGTAATGTGACCAGTGTGATGGACTAAGAACAGTTTTCCAACAGCAATCTGTAGGGCAGAATTGCCTTATGTTGAGGCTAAAAGGAAAACTGTTGAAGGATGGCTGTGGGCTTGGATGAAAATTTGACTGGGTGGGTGGATTGTTACTCTAAAAGGAGTAATATTTTTGAGCTGTTACTCAGAAAGCATGAAAAATGCAGGCACTGCCTGGCTCAGGAGACTTTGCAAGGAGGTGGAGGTAAAGACTGACATTCAGATTCACTGGCCAGTGAGATCTGCAGCAGGAGAAGAGGGATGTCTGCAATGACCAAAAAAGGAAATAGCAAGGGGTTATCTGAAGGGGAGGGAGATGCTCTCAAACACAGCGTAATAAAATCAGAACTGACAGATACGCAAGCAGAGATGTCAGATACTAGCAGAGAATTTAGTTTAATTGGGAGGAGCTTTGGAGCAAAGAAGCAGAAGCACAAGCTACTGTTGCAGAAGCAATGGCTGAATCTGTGCCTACAGGTGCAGTTGCCCAGGGGACTCTGCAACTGGATTGTACCCACCAAAAACCAGAGACAAGGCAAGCTGAGGCAGTTTCTCCAGGAGGCAGGCTGAAGACACAGCCTGTGTTGGGGATGGTCAAGGAGCTAAAAGAAGATGAACTATCTCAAGGACATGTTGGTTGATTATCTAGGGAAATGGAGTGTAGGAAGTCCAATTTCAAAAGAATTAGTGGCTCTGTACTTTGCCTAAAAGCCTATTTGGGCTGTGGCAAGAGCAGGATCAGAGGAACTGTGGAGCTTTGGAGATCTAAAATGGAGAAGGAAGGCAGGCACTCCTGACAATGGGTAGCTGTTTTGTTCAGTGAATGAAAGATGTGACATGGAGCGATTGCTAGAGGGGCAAGACCCCAAGGTGGAACTCCAACACTTGGAATGCATGTACATACTGAGGGGAAAACAAAGAATGAAAGCTTGACAAGAAGATCAAGCAAGGAAGAGGATGGCTATAAAGAAGAGGAAAAATAACCCACAATGCTGGGGGAGCGCAGCAGCTAGATTAGGAGCTTCTTAGACCTGAACAAAACTGGGAATTTGAGAGAAGAAAATGGGGATGATTTATATTTAAAAATCCACAATATAACTTACATGAAAGGAAGATGGGAGGGTTTGGGGAGTGAGTCAAAGATGGTGAAGAGGCGGCCAGGAATATATGTAGGAGTCAATTAAGGCTGCAAGTAGATTTTTATCTGGGAAGATGAGAAGCAGGAAAGAATATGCCATGGGGGCAGTAAGCTCACTCCTGGAAAAGCAAGTATTGCAGCGACAGCCAGAATGGGGAAGGAGAAAATACCACCACTTTGGGGATTTGGTGAAGAGATGGATTTGAGATTACGGATGGAGCAAGGAGACTGCAAATGAAGGAGGGTAAACAAACTAATAAGACTGGCCAGTGACAACAGGGGTAACTTTTGTCACAAGAAAACCATGTCAAAGTCCCCCAAAAATTGCCGCCTTTGAAAATGAGATGGGGATCAGCTCTTCCAGCAGCAGGGACAGCCCATACAGTGACTTGCTTGCAGTCCTCTACAGCTGTTGAAGCAGTGGTTGCATATGGAGGGGTGACAACACTTGCCTCCCGTCTGGAGGAAGCAAGAATAGCAAGCTCCTGGCTTTTCATTTCTGTTTCCCTGCCGGTCCACATTCCCTCTTTGCAGCAGCCACAAATCTTGCCCTAATCTGTTTCCATTTTCATTCACTTTTTCTAGCAGTTCAGTGGGGATTTTGATGCAGCATTAGTCTTCTTATGAAGAAATGGGAATGACTTAAACATTTGGGATAGGGGAAGGAGGGGAAGCTCTGGGTCCTAGGGGAAGGCAGGTCTGAGTGTGGGCAGGGAGAAGAGGAAGATGAGGAAAGGTTTTCAGTATCTTAATTTGCTTTCTAAATTTAAGGCTGACAGGCTTTCCTGTGTCTTAGAATGCAGAAAGAGTGAGTGCGAAGGGTGAGCAGGATGCAGTAGAGCTGCTGTGATGGGAGCTGATGCTGTGGTGCAGAGGAGGGAGCTGAACTAATGACAGAGAGTAAAAAAATGTCCTCAAGTGATGCTTATACAACCTTTTCTTTCTGCTGCTCTCCATCCTACAGAGGGGAAGATTATAACAGTTGAACCACACCACTCTGGGATCTGGCAGGTAAGAGGGCCTTTTCCAGAAGCTGAGGAATAAGGAGTATGAGGAATATAACCAACCCCATCCCAAGCAATATGGTCCTCCCCTCTGCATGGAAGATGCAGAAAAGCAAAAGCAAATGAGGGCACATTTAATATTTGCAAAAGACTGTCAGAATTCACTGAGGTGGAAGCGTGAAATGCCCCAGGTGGCCTTAGGAAAGGAAGGGCAGTGTTTTGTGTGGACCTTGAAAGAGGAAGAGGATTTGGCTCCAGCGGGGAAACGGGGCAGCTGCAGCTTTAAGAACAAATAGCTTTGTGTGCAGCTCTCCTTGCTCGCATCTGCATTTTGGTCTATAATTTGAACATTTCACAAGAGTGCTTTCAGATGGTCCTGTGAATGTTTTATGAGCTGTTAAGAAGTGGAGTGCGTATAAATGAAAGTCTGCAGCCGCTGCTGTGTGGGGAGGGCACAGGGTGCCTATTTTGGGCTGACAGAATGATGTTCAACAAACGTCTTGTGTTGAGGGGGCCAGCAGCTGCTCCTCACTGGTGCTTAACTGCTCACCCACCACATCTCTCCTAGGAGCATCGCTCTCAGGTTTACTGCAGCTTTGTTCTCATTTCCACCACTGGTTGCCAGCAGATGTGCACAAAAGTAGCACACCCGCCCACATGGAAAGGGTCCATCTGAGGGGGAGCACCTCTGCCTTGTGGATACATCTGAGCCTGCCTCCTGGGGTGGTGGTCACTGGGAAAGAATGGTCTCCTTTAGATCATAACCCATCTGACCTTTTTACCCGTCTGTAAAAGGGTATTAGTTTTGGCCTGCCGGGATTGCTTCCCCTGCGTGTACTAGGAGGGGAGCCTGCAGTGACTTGCTCTGATTGAGATGTAGACGTCTGAATTCGGTCAGCATTCATCAGCTGAGACTTTTCAACAGTTTCCAAGACAAGTGACTTGCTAGACAACTCATAGCTCATGCAGCCAGGGATGTGTATGTCATACACAGCTACCTGTGTGCTGGAGGGAGGTAGTAGTGCTTTTCTATAGGTGGGTTCTGTAGTGCAAAACCTATTGACTTTGCTATAGAATTAATGGAGAGAAGTGTGACACAACAGCTATAAGGAACAGGGAACCAATTGCATCATCTGGATGCAGAATGCAGAAATGTCTTCACTTTCACAGATTTTCATTACTTGCTCCAGTCTGCCTTGTCTTTTTCTATTCCTGCCTCCGGTCCTTTATCTCTCTGTCTCCTTTTGTCAAATTCTTCAGCTCCTGAGGCAAGAGAGGCTTCCCTGAAGCTGCCACCACCAGGAAAAATGTTTTCTGTCTCTTTACCACCTCCTTAAGTGGCAGCAGAAAATATTTTTTTCTCCCTTAACTTCTCTTCCTCTCTGCTGTGTGTTTCCCTTTGCTGTAACCAAGGAGTGTACTTTACAACATATTGTAGGGGATGTTTGGGTGGAAGACATTCTGCCAAACAAGATGAAGCTCATGATGAAGCTTGGAGAAGGATGCTGCTAACAACCCCCACCCCCCTACCCTGCACCTCATTTTGGAGAGATGTTGAATTGCAGCTGATTGTGAGAGGTAGAGGCTACATTTTGGATGGATGTTAAACTGTAGCTGATTGTGAGAAGTGAGAGCCATGCCTTGCGATGTTTGCAAACCAGGTGTAGCAGAACCATCCACAATGGAATGTGCCTGGCCAGGCTTTAGGGTTTATTGGATGGTAGCGTTGAACGAAAGTGGGTTCGCTCCTTTGTATGAGGTGATGTGCACAAGCACAATACAATAATTGTATTTCCTTGGAAGAATTTAAAGCACCATTTTTTTCCCAATAATTGTGTACTCTTCTGTTTCTTCCCCCCACCTCTCTTTTCTTGCCAATTGCAGGTGCTACATGAGCCCCTGATTGACGAGGATCCTGTTTTCATTGCCACATGCACAGAGAGGGAGCTGCGCAAGAGAAAAAAGAGGAAATTCAGTCTCTGGGTCCGGCAGTGCTCATCCACTGGTTTCATCTGCCAGGTGGGTTTTTCCTCTTCAGGTGTCTCGATTCCTTTTCAGTGTATTGTAGGACCAAAGGTACCAGTCACTTCTCTTCATACAATCTGAATGCAGCAGGCCTCTTACTCCCACAGATATTAGGTCCAAAGGACAGTGATGACAAGTTCCCGGTGCTCTGTTTGCTGTATGATTTCACTGAGGGTGCCTGTCTCTGATACTGTCCATCTGGCTGCAAGCCCTAAGCTAATTAAAATGAAATGGACTTAAAAAGCCTCTCTGTTTGTACATCCTAAGTTTGTCTAAATGTCTAGATACTGTGACGTCTGTCATTTTTAATGAGTCAGCTTCTCTCTCTAAGTATAACCCTGCATCTGTGATAGCCAGTGGTGTCCAATAGACTAAATCAATACGGTATCAAGATGTCTATTTTTCTGTGAGAAACATATTAGTGAGGTTTCCTATTGCATATCTTTTCACACCTCTACTTCTCTACCAAAGAAATAAAATCTGATGTGACTTCAAGGTGAGATATGAGGACGACCAGGAGATGTGTTAAAGGGTTGGGTTTCATGTTGAAAAGAACTGGGAACAAGTTTTCAGTTTCTCAGTTTACCCAATTGCTGATGTATTTTGAGAGCTCTTAAAAAATCTGGCCATTTATTTTGTTACCTAGAGGGGTAGAGGGGGCAGATATCTTCTGATATTTCTCTTTTGCAAGAGCTTCTGTGAAAATGTGGTGTCCTGCATGTTCCCGAGCAGCAGTTCAGAGGTGCAGGAAGGATGTGCATGCACGCTGCCTGCTCAGGCTGAATGCATGTCAAAACTGCAGGGCCCATGGATTTGCTGTGGTTGAACATTTGCTAACAGTAAAATTTGATCCGTGAATCACTATGACTGTTTGAGTAGCTCCGCAAGGAAAGGGACTCGCTGGGAACAGGGGTTTGCGTTTTCAATAATGCTATTCACTCTGAGAAGAAAATTGGGATCGTACATCTTCCACCCAGGTTTTAAAGCAGTTGTTTTGTCCAATACAAAATAGATTAATCTTGTGAAGCATCCTTGGAAGCTTCCTCTCTCAAGGCTTTTGGAAAGTCATTTGCTACACAGAGGCAGTGCCCTTAATCTCCAAGGTGAACTCCACCAGTTCCACACACAGCTTATTACTGAAGCGTAATGGGTACAACGAGCACAAAGTTTGCTGATCTCTCTTGCTGTGCCCCCCCAGCCAACTGCCACCCAACTAATAAGTCTTCAGACATGCCAGAGGTTTCAGATGCCCAGCTATAATTATGTTGCACCTCCCATCCTGTCCATTGAGACAATAAATTAATGGAATGTCAAATGAAACAGAATAGATGCTCAGCACCACCCTATTTCTGCTGCTCCCTTGATGAATTAGATACTCATGCTTGACTTGCATCCGGATGACGTCCAGGATCATCTTACCAGCTGTCTTTTGCTTTCATTCCATGACGGCTGTAATTATCATCATGCTAAAATGATTGGGTGAGAGGGACCTTAGGGAAGGGTGAAAAAGAATATACAGGAACACGAACGTTCATGCTACAATGGAAAAACCTAGTCTAGGGAGGATGGGGATCTTCGACTGCGGTATGTTTGAAATGTTACGTTCAGTTATGTGTCACAGTTACGAGGGATCTTGCAGAATTTAAAACACTTATTTGGTGGTTGTTTGGTTTATTTTGTGTTTAATATAGGAAGAGAATTGATCTAAACAAGAAAAAAATCCAATGTTTTCCCCCTTCATGTGCACACCTTTGCCTCCATCTCTGAAGGAAGGACATGTTGCCTGATAGTTAAGGACTGACTGGTCTAATGTCTGTCTGCTGTCAGAAAAACCTTACAGCACACAATTGGAAATATGTAGATATTCTGTAATACTGTCTGGATGAATTCCCTCTTTCATTGTTTCCACATGGTTACATCAGGGTCATTTTATTCAGGATAAAATATGACTATAAACACTTCATAAATCAGGCTAATTCAGCTTCAAAAGCCTGAATCATATATACCTATAAAAAGGTGAGGCAGAAGAGGAAAATGAGATACATATGACTGGCTCTCAGGAATGGAATGAACCTCCAGAGGTCTGTGATGTTCCTTGCCGAAAGCAAGGTCCTCTAAACTTGAATGAGGAGTCTGATGTTAAAAAATCTCCATTTGAGGTCATCTCAGTTTTCCCAGTGCTGTATTTTTTTTACAATGAAAAGAGTTGATAGGTTTGATTTCCTAATGTAAAACAGATATCAGTGTTTTAAAGCCATGTGTTGAGCTGCTCTGTGGTAACTCACTGGGCAGTTGTTAATGTTAGGAGTTTTAGCTCTGTCTGCTTGTTCTCATGAAAAAAACTGAATCATTTTTTTTAGTATGAGTGAATACTTCTGTTTGATGGCCCATTATTTGCTTTTTTTAAGCAAATGGTGTTCAGTTAAAAATCCAGCCCAATAAGCCATTCATGGAACAGAAGTGGCATAAAAACCAAATATTGTTTGTGGATATAAGGTGCATAGGCATTATATGCATAACATAAATAATGTATACCTATTAGACTACTTTTCTGCTTTCTGTAATACAGATAACCTGAATCCACCCTGACAGTTAAGTCTTTGTTTTAAGATGGACTGTCGTGGTTTGGGCCTCAAACCAGGAGATGGATGCACAATTTCAGATCATATCTCTGCTTTGGAATTTCTCAAGCAAAGCATCTTGTTGCAGTGAATAGCTGCTTTACTGAGTACCTTTTCACGGTCAACTGGCCAAGTAGGAACACGCAGGAAGGACAGATCATTCAAACAAAGTAAATACACGTCTACAGCAGCTGGGAACATGAGCAAAACCTTTCAGAGGGTTAGAAGGGCTCCAGGAAGGCTGACTTTGGCAAAGTAGGCAGCAAAACTGCCCTGATACTGTTGCTTTTTTTACCCATCCTTGATGCGGGACATCAAGGTGGCAGCAGCTGCTGCTGCAGCAGAAGGCTTGGGGCCTTCTCCTTTCTTTCTTTCTAATTCAGAGAGAACAGCAAACCCACCTTGCAGGACCCCAGGTGTCCTCTGCTCCATCTTCTCCCTGCTTTCCTCATTTCCCTCCAATGTATTTCCCTACATATGTCTTACCGCTAAGACACTTTTCAAACCAATACTTCAATATCTTGATTGCACTTTAAATGACCACAGGAGCTTAGAATTGCTTCTTTCTTTCTTAGAGTGTTTGCTGAGTTAAGTCATCCTGTTTAAATCAAAACTCTATTTGTGTCAGTTCTTATTTCTCTCTTTTTCTCTCAAAACTCTGGAGCACTTGCTTGTAAAAGATGAGCATAAATATGATTAGTAGGGCTCTCTTTCATTTTAGATATAGCAACAAAGCTCATAAAAAAATGCTGAAAGTTCACAAATACCTGATCAAGGCTAGATATTTTGTCCTGGTAGGACATGTCATGCTCTCTCTTTCCTTTTCTTGTATGGCTCATAAGGAATGAACATGGTCATGAGTAACTGTTACTAAGTGATGCTTAGTCCTTGCATAGCTCTTCCTGCACAAGAAGGTTTTCTGGTCATTTTGCAGAAGGAGAAGGAAGCAAAGGAAGCTGGTGCCATGCACTGAATCCCATGGGTAGTCCGGCAGGACAAGGTATTCCCATAGGTGTCTTGTCCTGGATCATAGGCCCATGGCACAAACATAACCCTAAAGACAGTCCCTGGCCCAAAGAGCCATTAATCAACAAAATTGAAAGCAGTGTGTAGATGGTAGAGAGAACTGCAAAGGGACAGTCAGGCAATATTAATCACTATGATAGGTGGTAATGGAATTAGCTCATCAACCTAATTATTCACTTAGAAAAATGTCATGGTGGAGAAGAGATGACTTTATGGATGTGTATATCCTTTCCTATTCCTTGGGATGAAATTTGTTCTCTGAGGCTATTTTGGACAGTCTTCCCTTCCTACAGGCCCTCCCCGCCCCCAACTATATGGGCTCTGCACTTGCTTTTATTCATTGGCAGAAAGTTCTTCCAATAATGCATTTCATTTTCACTAATATCCCTGGAAAATGTGTCACTAAGATTTATGAAGTCCTTTAAATCCTTGCACTGTGGGACTAAATTTGAGCTTCCACCTTCCCCTGCTTACCCTGAAGAACAACAGATTAAGGAAAAGGACTGTGTCTCTGCAGCGTGAGTCTTCCCACATTACTGAACGATCAGCGACTCGCACTATAGTGGTATTCAAAGAGTGCAACCTGGATCAGGGTGTCCCCACCATGAGGGAGTAAGAAATTATTCTTCCTGAGGAGCAGCTCTCAGTGAAGTGAGGTGTCTGAGGTTGCTCCACAGATTAGTGGCAGAGCTGGGGATAACTTCAGCTCACCCCACTCGAACGGCAGTGCCTCATCTGCTGCTTTCTGTTGCCTTTTCTGCTGCATCATGTCTTCTTTTCTTACAGTCTCTCGCAGTTGCAGCAAAAAAAGAAAACACTGTAAAAATCACGCTTTTAAAGCCAATGTCGTAGTTCATTCTTGATTTCAAACAGGGTAAGTCCGGTCAGCTTGAATGTTTTATAACCCTGCTGATTTTACAGAGTAAGAACTTCCAGAATTTAGGGAAACTGAGATGATGCCCCAAAGAATTTCTAATTTCACATCACAGCACATAAGTGCATTCAGTCACTGCGAAAGGGAGGGGTAAATAAGCCTGGAGTGAATTTTGTTTTCAAGGTCAGAGTTGCAGGAGAGTTAGCCATCTGTGCATTTGTTTAATAAAGCTGCTCAGAAATATTGGCGTTTCAGCCTGTTTAAGTTCTGTTTAGAGATTAGTCTGAGCCCTTGGGTTTCTTTAAACAGTGCCCTGATAATTTCTCTGTTGCTGGAACAGTTGCATCTGGAACGCACAGATGCAGCGGCTGCTTTGAGGAGGTTCTGAAGGTCAGGCTCCGGCTGGGAGGGGATCCCAGGAAATTTGATCGCTTTCATTTGTTAGTCACTGGTGGCTGGAAAATCCTATCTGC